CCGTCGTCGTCGTCGCCGTCGTCGTCGACGTCGTCGTCGTCGTCGTCGTCGTCGTCGTCGTGGTCGGTCCCCTGTCCGTCCCTCTTGGGGTCGGGTCGACGGTCCGCGGCCGCCCCGCCGATCAGCGCTGCCGCTGGCCAGGCCGACGGTCCGCGGCCGCCCCGCCGCTTGCCGGGGCCCGGCCTGCAGGGAAGAAAGGTATACCCCCCAAAAGGGGTTCGATCGAAGACGAAGAGGGCGGGTATCGAGGGTTTGGGAAATACGCGTTATTGGGCACTCGAGCAGATAAGGGCGAGCAGTCTTAAAGTGATTGTTGTTGTTGTTGCTGTTGCTGTTGCTGTTGCTGTTGTTGTTGTTGCTGTTGTTGTTGTTGTTGTTGTTGTTTTTGTTGGTGTTGGTGTTGTTGTTGAACATTATTAATTCTAAAGAATAATTATTGTTGGGGCCCCTGGTGCACGGCCCCCCTGCGCCGCCTAGGCCGCAGCTACATTTTCATCATTTTCGTGAGGAAGCCTCAGGTAATACGATGTCATCAAGATCCGGTTGTTTTGTTGTAATCCGTTTTCCCTTGCAAAAAACACTATAAAATGACATTTCTTGTTCTAATATAATCAAATTTCAAGAATCCCTTGCAAAAAATAAGGTAAAGTGGACATTCGCGCGCGCAAGACGAAATCCTTCCAAAAGCTTAGTGTTCGGAGCGATTTTAACATAAAAACATCAAAAAACCAATGGTTTTTCAACAAAAAAATGTCAAAATCTCATCCCGCGCGCTCTTGCGGATTCGTAGGAAAACCAACACTTTTTAAACATTTCTGTCAAACGGGCTTTTGCGAGCAACTTTTTCGAACTTCTGCGACAACGGTTGCGCACCTGCCAGGGCCATCATCCCTGTCAAATAATACCATGCGGGACACATTCGTTTTTTCTTCGCGCGCGCACGCCGTCGTCGTCGGCCGCGGGGCCCTGAATAGTAGCCACGGTCGTCCGCATGCCACGAAGTGAAGTGTCCGAACGTCATAGGGCGGGAAGCTGGGTGTGGGTGGTGGCGAAGAGTCGTTTGGATATTTGGTAGAGCTTGAACCGGCCCCCCCACAAAGTGGGGGTATTGCCTGGCCTCCTATGAAAACCCTGGCACTGGTGAGAACACCCCGCGTGTGTGTTGTTGTTGTTGTTGTTGTTGTTGTTGTTGTTGTTGTTGTTGTTGTTGTTGAACATTATTAATTCTAAAGAATAATTATTGTTGGGCCCCCTGGTGCACGGCCCCCCTGCGCCGCCTAGGCCGCAGCTACATTTTCATCATTTTCGTGAGGAAGCCTCAGGTAAACGATGTGATCAAGATCCGGTTGTTTTGTTGTAATCCGCTTTCCCTTGCAAAAAACACTATAAAATGACATTTCTTGTTCTAATATAATCAAATTTCAAGAATCCCTTGCAAAAAATAAGGTAAAGTGGACATTCGCGCGCGCAAGACGAAATCCTTCCAAAAGCTTAGTGTTCGGAGCGATTTTAACATAAAAACATCAAAAAACCAATGGTTTTTCAACAAAAAAATGTCAAAATCTCATCCCGCGCGCTCTTGCGGATTCGTAGGAAACCAACACTTTTTAAACATTTCTGTCAAACGGGCTTTTGCGAGCAACTTTTTCGAACTTCTGCGACAACGGTTGCGCACCTGCCAGGGCCATCATCCCTGTCAAATAATACCATGCGGGACACATTCGTTTTTTCTTCGCGCGCGCACGCCGTCGTCGTCGGCCGCGGGGCCCTGAATAGTAGCCACGGTCGTCCGCATGCCACGAAGTGAAGTGTCCGAACGTCATAGGGCGGGAAGCTGGGTGTGGGTGGTGGCGAAGAGTCGTTTGGAAATTTGGTAGAGCTTGAACCGGCCCCCCCACAAAGTGGGGGTATTGCCCGCCTCCTATGAAAACCCTGGCACTGGTGAGAACGGAGTGTCCCCACGTGCTAGTAATTGTTGTTGTTATTGTTGTTGTTGTTGTTGCTGTTGAACTCTCACTTTTGAAGAATAATTATTGTTGGTCTCCTTCATCGGTGCATATTGTTTCTCTCGATCAAAGTGCGCCCTTCGGCGCTCGCACCTTGTTTTCTTTACCGGGAAAGTCTTGATGCTCAAGCTGTGCCCCTGGCCCCCCCCGGATTACAACAACAACGGCTCCCGCCTGAGACCTCCTCCAAATTTACTGAGGACCCCGCTCCCGCTTGAGAATTCATCACAATTTACTCAGGATCGGTGCTCCCGCTTGTGACTTCCTCGCAATTTAGTCAGGACCCCCGCTCCCATTTGAGATTTCCTCACAATTTACTCAGGAACGGCGCTCCCGCTGGAGACTTCCTCGCAATTAAGACCTCCTCTCCCGCCAGAGAACCCTTCACATCTGATTCAGGAACTGCGCTCTCGCCTGTGGCTTCCATGCAATTTACTCAGAAATCGCGCTTTCGACGCCCAGGAAACGCGCTGCGCCAAGGACGCCGTCACAATTTACTCACGCATCCCGCTTGAATGTCCTACCCGCCCGGCCCGCCTGCAGGGGATCGCCCACCCGCCGTGGGCTCCCGCCCGAGACTCCCTGCAGGAACGGCGCTTTCGCTTAGGACTTCATCGAACGTTCACGCTCTTACCTTCCTGCTCCTCCTCTCTCTCCCTCCTCCCTCCTCCCTCCTCTCCTCCCTTCTCTCTCCCTTCTCTCTTCCCTCATCCTTATGCCTCTCTGCCCTATCCCCTCTCCATCCTCTCCCTCCTCCCTTCTCCCTCCCCTCTCCTGCCTTCTCCCTCCCTCTTTCTTGCTTTCTTTCTTTTTTTTTCTCTCTCTCTCTCTCTCCCTCTCTCCCCTCTCTCTCTCTACCTCTCTTATCTGTCTTTCTCTTTCTATCTCTGCCTCAAATCAACCGCCCTCCTCTTCGCTCCTTCTCTCCTGGCGTTTTCCCTCTTCCGTCGTCACTCCCCTTCCCTTTTTCCCGCTCTTCTTCGTTCTCTTCCTCCTCTTTTTGCAGGGCCCACACCGCTTCCAATGGCGTGCGCATGTACGCCCACGAAGGATTGTCCGCCCGTTCAGATTTGCCCGCCTGTCTAAGCTCGGAGCCCCCCGCAAAGAGAACTAATCCCCCCCAAAGGGGGTGTGATCGAAGACGAACAGGGCGGGTCTCGAGGGTGTGGGGAACTCGTTTTGAATGACACACGGGCAAGTAAGAGCGAACAGTCTTAGACTGATTGTTGCTGCTGTCGTCGTTGTTGTTGTCGTTGTTGTTGTTACTGGTGTTGTTGCTGTTGTTGCTGTTGTTGCTGTTGTTGTTGTTGTTGAACATTATTTATTCTAAAGAATAATTATTGTTGGGCCCCCTGGTGCGCGCCCCCCCTGCGCCGCCTAGGCCGCAGCTACATTTTCATCATTTTCGTGAGGAAGCCTCAGAAAAGAGGGTGTGTACAGGATCCGGTTGTTTTGTTGTAATCCGCTTTCCCTTGCAAAAAACAATAGAAAATGACATTTCTTGTTCTAATATAATCAAATTTCAAGAATCCCTTGCAAAAAATAAGGTAAAGTGGACATTCGCGCGCGCAAGACGAAATCCTTCCAAAACCTTAGTGTTCGCAGCGATTTTAACATAAAAACATCAAAAAACCAATGGTTTTTCAACAAAAAATTGTCAAAATCTCATCCCGCGCGCTCTTGCGGATTCGTAGGAAACCCAACACTTTTTAAACATTTCTGTCAAACGGGCTTTTGCGAGCAACTTTTTCGAACTTCTGCGACAACGGTTGCGCACCTGCCAGGGCCATCATCCCTGTCAAATAATACCATGCGGGACACATTCGTTTTTTCTTCGCGCGCGCACGCCGAAATCTCCAAAAACCATTGGGCTTCTTAAGAATTTTAGCACCGCGCATCATAAAATCACACGAATCGCACCGTAGGTCCTCGAAAAACATCAGGACAACCATCGGGACAAGCACAACCATCAGGACAACCATCGGGACAATCATCGGGACAACGATCGGGACAACCACAACCATCAGGACAACCATCGGGACAACCATCGAGACAACCATCGGGACAACCATATCCTCTCTCTCTTGTGTATTCCCACATCCCTCAGGAATTTGCCCTAAAGATGTGATCAACTATCTTGTGAGTACGTATCATGTGTATCATGTGTATCATGTACCATATGCATCATATGCAACAGATGTCCTGTGGAAGGCTTAACAACTTCTGTGGGTTAACAAGGCTTAACAACTTCTGTGGGTGTACGAACGTAGGCTTAACAACTTCTGTGGGTGTGTACTCCACGCCAGTGTAGTAGCCACGGTCGTCCGCAGGCCACGAAGTGAAGTGTCCGAACGTCATAGGGCGGGAAGCTGGGTGTGGGTGGTGGCGAAGAGTCGTGTGGATATTTGGTAGAGCTTGCACTGCCCCCCCACAAAGTGGGGGTATTGGCTGGCGTCGCATGAAAACCCTGGCACTGGTGAGAACACTGAGCGTTCGGGTAAAGTGATTGTTGTTGTTGTTGTTGTTGTTGTTAATATTGTTGTTGTTGCTGTTGCTGCTGTTGTTGCAGTTGTTGCTGATGTTGTTGCTGATGTTGGTGTTGTTGTTGTTGTTGTTGTTGGTAATGTTGTGGTTGTTATTGTTATTGTTATTGTTATTGTTGTTGCTATTGTTGTCGTTGTTGTTGTTGTTGTTGTTGTTGTTGTTGTTCTTGTTGTTGTTGTTGTTGTTGTTATTGTGGTTGTTGTTTGTTGTTTCGCCCAAAGTTCGCCTGTAGGAGGACGCGCCCGACCTAAGCTTTGAGTTTTGGCCCAGGGGTCGCGCGCGTTGAGACATGTAGAACCGACAGCACGGCGAAGTCGGTCGATCGGCTTCTTGTGGATCTTTTATTGCCTGACTCTTTCGCATAAGTCCTGGTTGCCAGGCCGCTGAGCTTGTAAGGGCGACCCTGAGGTGCTTCTCCTGTTGCTGGCGTGGCCGAGCCTGGTGTCTGGAATGAGCGTGGCCCAGGAGGCGGCGTCGCGACCCTGGCCCTGGCTCGCCGTCGCCGCCGTCCTCGTCGCAGCTGTCAGCGCCGCCATCCCCACGGCGGTCCGGCGGCGACGTTCAAAGCAGGAGGAAGGCTCCTACGACCCGTCATCTGGCAGTAGCCGGTCCGCTCCAGGTTCGAAGAAGACGGAGCTGACGGAGCAGGGGTCTGAACCCTCCGAGCCCGCCGCAGAAGCCATCGCTCACGTGTGTCCAGAGCATCAGGGCAACGCTAAATCCCTCGCCGCAGCGTTCGGGTTGAACGCGTGCCTTCTTCGAAAGAGCCCGCCCGGCCACGCCGAGGAGTCTGCGAAGAAGCTCCTCGAGGGCTCCTGCACTGACAGAAGAACCGATTCAGCTAAGGCAGAGTCTAAGGCGGCCGATGGGCAGAGCGAGGCTGCCCAACGTCTTCTGGCCGCCTCGATCGCCGAGGGCGCCCAGGGCGAACAAGGGCTGAGGGCGGGAAAGAAGTGCACCACGTGCGAGCACCCATACAAGCGCTTCGACGATACATATGCCCTGAGCCAGCAGAACCGGGACTCCATGCAGACAGAATTCACGCCTGACGTCTCGAGCCCGGTGCGGAACTGGACAGGTTGGCGAGAGGCGGCGCTGGCCGCGCAGACGACGGGCTCTTTGAGGGCCAGGTTCTCCGAAGAGAGGGTGCAGTCGGAGTCGGGCCGTGTGCCCGCCTTGCAGCCCAGGGTGCTTGGAGAGGACCTGCAGTGGGCGTCGGCCGCTTGCGCCGGAGCTGTGGGCTTAGAGCAGCGGGGGCAGCACGAGTCCGAGCTGCAGGCCACTCTGCCTGAGGAGAAGCAGTTGGAGCCGGCACGCTCTGCCAGGGCGGCGGGGGAGGAACTCCTGAGGCAGCAGGTGTCCAAGCTGCAGGCCAGCCTCTCCGAGGAGCAGCAGCGGCGAGAGACGGCACTGTCGGTCGCGGCGGCGCAGGCGGATCAGCTGAGGAAGCATGCCTCCGAGCTGCAGGCGGCTGCCGCTGCTGAGCAGGCCAGGCTCAGGCAAGAGCTGGGCCGGCTGCAGCAACGCCAAGGCGAGCTGGAGCGGCTGCGGGCTAACTGCGCGCGGCAGAGTTCGCAGCTACAGCAGCTGCGGAGGTCGCAGGAGGAGTACAGCGGTGGCGACGCGGACGCGATCGGGGCCCCATCTCAAGAGCAGCAGCGGACAGCCAAGGACGAGGTAGCCTCGCTTGGGCAACGCTTGGCGGCCGAGCCGGAAAACAACGCGACGAGCCAGGATTTGGCAGAGCGCGCGAAGCTGAAGCTGCAGGAGGAGCTGCTGGCGGCCAAGGGCGAGATATTTTCACTGGAGCAATGCTTGGCAGCTCAGGCGCAGCTGCGGCCGACCAAGCCGCTTGCTGCGAGACCCGCACCAGAGACGCAGCGACGCCAGATCGTCGCCGATATGTGTAGCAATGTTGAGGAATACGTCGGGAAGCTGATAGGGAACTGCTGCAACACAACATCAGAGAGTACGACTATCGCGCTGCATTATATCCGCAGCAGGCTTCATGCTATTGTAGACGTGGAAGCCGACGCATTTGACGACGACTTACGGATGCACGAATCTATAGGTACGGTGCTGGCGTTGAAGAAGCTTATGGAGGTGTGGATGCTGGTTTCTCTAACGGTGGATGTGCCACCCATCCGATCGAGCGGCTGGGGTGGATCGGCCAAGTTCCGCTCGCACTTCAAGGCACTTGTACCCTGGAGCGTGTCTCGCGTGGAGCTTCGATGTCGTTGGCGCGATGAGAACTTGGGCGTGTCCCATGGGCGTCTGAGATTGACCATCAGACGCAATGGAACCGTGGTCTCGGAGGTGGATTGTTTTGCGTTTGCGCCCCATGTTTGGGTGAAGGAGGTTGTTGCGTTCTCGAGCTCGCAGCTGGGTGATCCACTCCCAGGTGACACCTTGTCTTTGGAGTACGCAGTGGGCTCGTTCGAAATAAGGTGTCTCTGTGTGGAGGATAGCCAGCTGCCTGCGGCGAGTCCCGCCACCAGACCAGCCCAGCTCTGGGAGGCAGCTTGCCGAGGAGCGCACAGAGGGCCGTTTCGTGTGGCACCTCGTGCCCCGAGGCTAGGGAGGCACGTTCCACGTGGCATGCCCTTCCGCTTCGTGTCGGGGTGTGCCTCCTCATGTTTGACGTCTTCTTTCTCCCTTCCTCTTCTTCCCTCCTGTCTCGGGTCCCCTTGGGGGCCTCTTGAATGGCTTTGGGCGGCGTCCTGGGGGCTGCTCGGGGCCTCTTGGGGACTGCTTGGGCAATCTTAGGGAGCTCTTGGGCGGTCTGGCGTTTGTGGAATCCGTCTTGGGTGTCCTGGGGCTTGTGGCCCTGGACCGTATTGTTGGGGGTCTCTTGGGCCATCACGAGTCCTTCTTGGGCACTTTTGGAGGCCTCCTGGGCCGTCATGATGGCCTCGTGCGCTGTCTTGATGCCCTCTTGGGCCGCCTTGGGGCCATCTTGGAGACCACTTGGGCTGACGGAGTCCCGACAACGCTGAGAACGTGAGAATATTAGCACAAGCCCACAGGAGATCAATGATTTTGGCATCTTCGGGCCCTCCTGGGTGTCCTCTTAGAGCCCTCTTGGGCCGTATTGGGGGCCTCCTGGGCCGCCGTCTTGAAACCATCTTTTGGGTCGTCTTGGAGGCATTCTGGGCCATCTTCTGGGCCTTTGTGGCCTGCATGGGCCGTCCTGGAGACCATCTCGGGCATCCTGGAGGCCTTGGGGAGCACCGGGGAGGCGTCGGGGCGCCCAGAGGGGGTGGGGGGAGGCGGCGGCAGCGGCGATGCACGCAATGGAGTGCTTCGAGAGGGGGGGGGCCCTGGAAGATTCCAGAAACCCTACCAGACAGCACTTGGTACTCTGCCGCGCCTCAACTTGTCAGGGCGCACGGTGGCGGCTTGTCATCGTGCTGTGGCAGGACGCAGACCTGGCAGTTCAGCGAGGAGGCCCAGAGCGTGACTCGAGCCATCGACATTCCTTGTTTGGTAGTTCTCAGGCCCAGCAGCGCGGCGAGGACCAGCAACTCGCAATCGAAGCGGAGGAGAGGTCCTTGCGCCAGAGGGCAGGCGTGGTCAAGAGCCTCTTCGAGTCTGAGCGCGCGATCGGCGACCCCGCGACCACCGTGCGCATCCTGCTGCATCTGGTCGGCGACCCCGTAGCCATCGTGGAGGCCGTGCCCAGCTTCGCGGACCTCGCGCGGGAAGCCATGAAAACCGGCGACGCGGAGGCGGCCGCCCACCTCCTGGCGCTCGCCCCAGACAGTCGAAGGAGAAGGATCGGCGTAAGCATACACTTTCGGGGCTCCGCGCGGATTTCCAGGATCGGCGCTGCCCCCCCAATCCTGGCGCGCAGAGCGCTCCATGGGCGGCGACGGAGGCGCCGCCAGGGGGGCCCAGCACAGATCCAAGACATCACGCGCGCAGCCCGAAAGTGTATGTCTCTGCCTTTTCTCTCCCCTTCCAGACGGGCAGGCCGCCATGATGTCCCGAGACGAGCGCGGCAACACGGCGCTGCACCTGGCAGCCCTGTCGGGCAGCGCGGGCGCTGCGCGCGCCCTGCTCGAGGCGGCCACCGGCCCCGAGGCGCTGCTCGCCGCCGCCAACGGGGAGGCCATGGCTCCGCTGCACTCGGCCGCCGAGGGCGGGAGCGCGGAGGTGGTGCGGCTGCTCGTGGGCCGCTCCGCCGCGCTCGCCGCGCGGGACAGGTACGGGTGGACCCCTGTGCACAGGGCGGCCGTCCACGCTCGCGCGGAGGCCTTGCGGGCGCTGGCGGACCTCGCGCCGAGCAGCGCCGCGGCGCTCGGGGCCACGGACAGCGAGGAGTCGACGCCCCTCCACCTGGCCGGGTTCAACGGGCACGCCGAGGCGATCCGCTTGCTGGTGGATCTGGCGCCTGATTCGGCCGTCGCGCTCGCGGCCAAGAGCAACACGGGGAACACGCCCCTCCACTTGGCCGCCCTGACGGGGCACGCGGAGGCGATCCGACTGCTCGTGGACCTGGCGCCCGATTTGGGTGCGGCGCTCGCGGCCAAGAACAATCAGGGCTGCGCGCCGTTGCACCTGGCCGCCCTCACCGGGCTTCCGGCGGCGATCCAGCAGCTGGTGGACCTGGCGCCCGACCAGGCGGCCGCGCTCAGGGCCACAGACAGCGAGGGCTCGACGGCCCTTCACCTGGCCGCTCTGAACGGGCACGCCGAGGCGATCCGCTTGCTGGCGGATCTGGCGCCCGACTCGGCTGCCGCGCTCGCGGCCAAGAGCAACACTGGGAACGCGCCCCTCCACCTGACTGCCTTGAATGGGCACGCGGAGGCGACCCGGCTGCTGGTGGGCCTGGCGTCAGACAGGTCCGCCGCGCTCGCGGCCAGGAACAACAAAGGCAACACACCCCTTCACTTGGCCGCGCTTAGCGACCCGATCCGGCTGCTGGTGGTGGCGCCAGGTTCGGCCGCCGCGATCGCAGCCAAGAGCATCAGTGGGAGCGCGCCCCTCCATCCAAATGCGTTGCCACGCTTATCTGCCGCTTCGCCAGGGGAAGCTGCGCAGCAACGCTGTAGTGCGGCGCGGCTGTAGCGTTGCATACTTATTGCGGCGTTGCCTGTTAGGAACTTCTATGCTGCCCCTCGGGCTGATTTTTCATACATATATATAAATGTTTGTAGACATATATATATATATATATGTATTATAGATATGTATATATTGGTTATTGGGTCGTCCAGTGGCTGTCCTTTGAAGGCCGAACCACTTGGGGCCAGCAGAGGGGCAGCCTGGAGAGCCAGGGTGCCGCCCAGGAGGGCATGCCACGCAACGCCCCACCCAGACTATCCACTCTGAGCATGGCGTTTTCTGTTGGGAGGCCGCGGCTTTGTTACATTGGCGCAAGCGTGGACGTTTGTTGTCCTCGATGCGGTGGTGGGGCCTGATTGCTAACCCGCGAGGAGCGAGACCGAGTAAAAGCAGGAGGCCTGACACGCACCAGCTATGGCAAGCGCGGTGGCAGACTTGGCCGCCTTCAACGGGTACGTGGAGGTGATCCAGCTGCTGGTGGATTTGGCGCCAGATTTGGCCACCGCGCTTTCAGCCGAGAACAATACCGGGGAGACGCCTCTACATTTGGCCGCCTTGAACGGGCACGTGGAGGCGATCCGGCTGCTGGTGGATTTGGCGCCCGACCAGGCTGCGGCGCTGGCGCTGAAGCAGAACACTGGGCTGGTGCCCTTGCACCTGGCAGCGTTGAACGGGCACGTCCAGGCGATCCAGCTACTCGTGAGCTTTGTGCCCAACTCGGGTGCGGCGCTCGCGGCCACGAGCAACACCAGGCTCGCGCCCCTTCATTTGGCTGCATTTAACGGGCATGTGCAGGCGATCCAGCTGCTGGTGGACCTCGCGCCGAATACAGCGGCCGTGCTTGGGGCAATGGACAGCGATGGGTCGACGCCCCTTCACATTGCAGCGTACAACGGCCACGCAGATGCAATCCGGCTGCTGGTGGACCTGGCGCCAGATTCCGCCGCCACGCTGTCGGCTAAAAACAGCCCAGGAGGCGAACCTTTGCACCTGGCTGCCTTGAATGGGCACGCGGATGCAATCCGGGTGCTGACGGACTTGTCGCCCGACTCGGCCGCTGCGCTGGCAGCCAAGGACCAGATGGGGAACACGCCCCTTCAGCTGGCTGCTTCGAGCGGGCACGTGGAGGCGATCTGGGCGCTGCTGGACCTCGCGCCGAACAAGGCAGCCCTTCTCGCGGCCGCGGATAGCCATGGGTCGACGCCCGTTCACAGTGCCGCGTACAAAGGGCACGCAGAGGCAATCCGGCTGCTGATGAGCCTGGCGCCAGACTCGGCTGCTGCACTCGCAACCAAGGACGACGCTGGCAACACGCCCTTTCACTTGGCTGCGTTGACTGGGCACACAGAGGCGATCCAGCTGCTGGCGAATTTGGCACTGGACCGGGCGGCCGCGCTCGAAGCTCTCCACCTGGCCGCCTTACACGGGCACGCTGAGGCAGTCCGGATGTTGGTGCTCTTGGCGCCAGGCGGGTCCGCCGTGTTGGCAGCCCCAAACAAGACAAGGCACACGCCCCTTCATTTGGCCGCCTTGCACGGGCACGCAGAGGCGATCCGGTTGCTGGTGGACCTGGCGCCTAGACGGGCCGCCGCGCTCGCGGCCAAGGACGTGAAGGCGAACTCGCCTCTGCACTTAGCCGCCTTCAAGGGGCATGCCGAGGCGATCCACTTGCTGGTTGTCCTCGCTCCCGACCGCCCCGCTTTGATCGCAGCCACGGACCAGAAGGGAAACACGCCTCTTCACCTGGCCGCCTTCAACGGCCACATCGAAGCGATCAGGGTGTTGGTGGACCTGGCGCCGGACCCTGCGGCCGCGCTCGCAGCCAAGGGCCAGAATGGGAACGCGCCTCTTCATCTGGCCTCCTTCCACGGGCACTCGCAGACGATCCGGCTGCTGGTGGACCTGGCGCCCGACAGGGCCGCCGCGTTGGCGGCGAGGCAAAACGTCGGCCTCACGCCACTGCACTTTGCCGCCAAGAACGGGCACGCGGAGGCAATCCAGCTGCTGGTGGTGGATCTGGCGCCCAACCAGGCTGCCGCGCTGGCGGCGAAGGCAGAGCATCGGGGGTTGCTAAAGGCGCCCCTGGCCCAAGGTGCCCCAGCTGTTCGCTACATTTTGGAGCCCCTGGAGCTCTCCTGGACCTCGTGAGGGGTGCTCTTGCGTCCGTAGGGGCCTCCATGGAAATCCCAGGATCACCTTGGGCACGGAGTACTTCTAGCAACACCCGAGAGAATGGGACGACGCCTCTGCACGAGGCCGCCTTTGCTGGGCACGTGCAGGCGATCCGGCTGCTTGTCGACCTGGCACCGGACCGAGCTGCTGCGTTGGCGGCCGAGAGCACGGCCGGCCTGACGCCTCTGCACACCGCCTCGTGGAACGGGCGCGTGGAGGCCATCCTTCGGTAGCAAATCGTGGGGGCCTATTATTATGATGTTCCAACCTACAATAGCTGATCACCAGAAAGAATTTCGGCCACCAAGAAAGTAACGAAACTAGAGGGTTGTCACGTGTCGGGCCCTGGGAGGCGATATTCGTTCGACATTGTTTCGATACTTTTCTGGGTGCTCGAAATTATGTCTGGGATGTGGTCCTTAAGTACGATGAGAGCAACAGCAACATAAGCCTGGTATTCCCTATTCATTCCGTCTTTAGCGTGGATTCGCGTCGATTCGCGTCTGGGAGTCGATGAGAAAGCGCCGATTCAGCGTCGGTTCGCGTCGAATGGCGTCGATTTAGCGTCGATGAGCGTCAACTGTCGTCGATTCGCGAGAGCCGACAAGATGGTATGGGACGCCCCCATGAGTTGCCACCGAACCATCCTGGCCCTGGTTGACCTGGCGCCCGACAGAGCCGCCGCCCTCGCGGCGAAGAGCCACAGCCCCCGGAGGACGGCCCTGCAGTGGGCCAGCGGCGAGGGGCACTGCGCGGCCGCGGCGGCGCTGCGGCGGCTGTGTGCGGGGTGAGCGGGCAGCCGATGCCGCGGGCCCGCGACCACCAGCGAGCCCTGCTCCTGCGGTGCACGGGTTCCCCCGGGGCCGTAGGCGACCCGAGGAGGAGGAGGAGGAGGAGGAGGAGGAGGAGGAGGAGGAGGAGGAGGAGGAGGAGGAGGAGGAGGAGGAGGAGGAGGAGGAGGAGGAGGACGGGTCGCCTAAGCCCTTCGGAGAAACCCTCCACCCTGCGGGTCCAATCGCCGCTGGGGTATCGGACACCCCTGTCGGAGCTCACCTGGCCGCCGCCGCGCTCCGAATTCCGACCCCCAGCGGGCGTTCTAGAAGATCTGGCCTGCAGGGATAGGGCTTACACGTGGATGCCTTCGCTGGGCTGGGGACGACGACGGGAGGCCGAACTGGCAACGTTGCTCAGGCACCCTGAGAGGCGAGCGGTGGTTCGAGAAGTCCGTGCGGGCCAATGCCTCTCAAGGCGCAGCGGCACCTAGCAGCGCTCTCGCTCGCCAGGCGCAAGCCTGGGTGATGCAGGCCAGGGAGCAAGAACATCGATCATGCTTCTATGGACTGCGCAGGACGCAAGTGCAGATTCGTGGAGGGGTTTCACACGGAACGGATTATGATCTTTCAGTATGAGGTCTATCAGGCCGATCGCAGGCGATTTGGAACGCTTCAGGGTGGGTAATCGGAACATGTCATATCAAAGATGGCACCCAGATGGATTTGAGGAGAGGGCGCATCAGGATACGCTTGAGGCGGAGGGGTTTTGGAACGCCTGATCACGTTTGTCGGTAAATTTGAGATCGGGCGTTGCGGGCGAAAAAGAGGAGAACACAACCGGGAGCTCGATGTTGATTTTGGTTCGTGCAGTGCGTGCGGGCGAGGCGAATCTTGCCGAGCGAGTCGTCGTCTTTAGATTAGTTCGGTTGCCTGCTGGACACGGGTCATACGAGTACGATTATGTTCGCATGTACGCTTATACATAACACATATGTTCGCAAGCGTGGTCCTCACACATCGTGATTATATGAAATTAGGTGGTGCAATATATGTGTATATATATATACACGTGCGTGTATGCATGCATGTATGTATGTATACATGTATGCAGGTACGTACGTACGTACGTACGTATGTATGTCTGTATGTATGTATGTATGTATGTATATATGTATGTATGTATGTGTGTATGTATGTATGTATGTATGTATGTATGTATGTATGTATGTATGTATGTATGTATGTAATGTATGTGTGTATGTATGTATGTATGTATGTATGTATGTATGTATGTATGTATGTATGTATGTATGTATGTATGTGCGTATGCATGTTTGTATGCATGCATGCATGCATGCATGCATGCATGCATGCATGCATGTATGTGCATGCATGCATGTATGTAAACATGCGTGCATGTGTGTATGTATACATGTGTGCGTGTATGTATGTGTGGATGTATATAGGTATGCACATCTATCTCTATTCGTACATGAACATATGCGTGGTACAGGTCGTGTGGTTCAACATTTGCGGTGCAACCTATGTGGTGCAACCAACGTGGTTCGATCTATGTTGTGCCATGTATGTGGTGCATGCCGTGTGGTTAAGGTTGTGCAATATATGTGGTGCAATCCGGGTTGGTCAATCTATGACCTGTGTGGAGCAGTCTACGTGGTCCAATATATGGTTGTGCAATCTAGGTGGTGCAATATATGCGGTGCAATCTACGTGGTGCGCAACTTATGCGGTGCAATCGACGTGGTGCAATCTAACTGGTGCAATCGATATTCATATACACATGGATCTATGGAGATGGATATTTTTTATGTACATATATATCTACATGCATACACATATATACGTATACATAGATATGTTGTGCTATCTATGCGGTGCAACAACGGTGGTTCAATCCTTTCAAGCTTTGCGTTGCAATCTAGCGCCTAGTGGTGTAATCTATGCTGTGTACTCTGGGTTGTGCAATTCATTCGGTGCAATCTTTAGTGTGCAGTCGATGTGTGTCACCCTATGTGGTGCAATATATGCGTTGCAATCTACCTTGTGCAACTCAGGCGGCGACGGGGTGGTGACGGCGAGCACGGAGCCGCCAGACCGACAATCAGGCTCAGACGACGGCCGGCGACGCGGTGGCGACGGGGCGGCGACGGCGAACACGCAGCCGCCAGACCAACACCCCCCCAGTTCCTTATAACACATGCGATAACCCCTAAGTGCAAGCACTATTTTGGGAAAGTTATTTGGCATTTAGGTGTACAATTGGATATCCATTTCGTGAATTCGTTGTCGTGCGGTAGTTCGACAGCTAGACAGAAGTCGCGCTGGTTCGTGTGATGCTCATGTGTAGCCCGTATTTTGCACATCCGACGCGAGGCCGTCGCACATCGAACATTGCTCCTATTCTCCGAGATCCTTCTCACCCGAAGGGCGGGTATTGCCATGGAGGTGCAACAAAGGCAAGTTCTCCCGTCGCGAACGGAAGTTGCGTCCATGGTTGCGGGGGGGCTGAGCACTCTGTTGTTCAGTGCGAAGCGTTGCGTGGGCAAACGCCAAGGCCTGGGACACGTTCACACCGTTTGACGGCGCGGTGGTAGAAGGCTCTCGCTTTATACATTTGGATGTCCACAGCCAGGTAAGCGCACGGGCGCCGGCCAACATGTAGGCAGATCTCCGCACTATTGGGGGTGCCGTGCTCAGTGTCTGGGGAGGGAACGCGCCAATTTCGGCCAGATCGGGGCCCCTGGAGGGTCCCAGAGTCCTTGTGTTCCGCGCCTCCCCCTCTATGCATGGTGGCTGAATTCGCCAAACGCACCCCGTTTCGTTTCGCTTAACTTGCCAGCGCAGTCCCTCTGCTTAGCCGCCAACGCACAGATTGTGTTCCGCGCCTCCGCGCTCCCCGAACGCCGCAACTGTTCCCGAAGGAGCGCGTGCATGCCGAAGGGCCTTCCAGGACCCAGCAAGGGTGGAGCACCCAGACAGCCCGCGGCTCGAGCTTCTGGAGACATGAGCTCTGGCGGCCTCTCGACCCCTTCCCTGGTGCCAACGTTCCATCCCGAGCCTGCTTCTGATGGCCTTCAGGGTCGATGCCGATCGGATCGATCCGACTCGATGCCAAGTTCGGCCAGCCCGATCCCATTCAATTTGCAGTGGAAACCCATGCCAAGGAACACCCTGCTTGCTTCCAGGGTGCCCTGGGTCTCTTGGGTTTGATGGTTTTGCTATGGAATGCGTGGCGTGCCCACACCAAGAATCAATGGACGTCCTGGGATCTCAGGGTTGGGTTCCTTGTGGAAGGTTTCTTGTGGTCGTGCTCCTACTGTAACATATTCCGACGCTCCGATGCGGCTCCCTGTTCGCGGTGTTGTTGTGAACTCTGGCGCGACCGAGCCGATTCGATTCCGACTCTGTGCCAATGCGGCCTGATCCGACGCTCATGCCGTTTCGATCCGATCTCTCATGGCGCCAACGTCGCAGAGCGGACTTCGTTCGAAAAACAATGAGATGGGCCCAGATTTTCCAGGAGAATTTCGTTCCGGATTTCGAAGTGAATTTCGTGCGGATTTGCATCCATGGGAAATTCACGTCTTTTTGCGCTTGCCGTTTCGGGGTCTTGCAAGGACGGAAATCGGTTCAAAAATCCGCGGCAGCCCTTCTGCAAGCTGCAAGCTCGGTGCAACGAGATCTCCTCATTCGATGCTTACCGATCCTGGCTCTGGGCCCGACGTCTGCTTCAACCGAAGTCGTGAAACACCTGGCCGTGTCGAAGTCTTCCGGCCCTCGGATGTCTCGTGCAAGGGCCCATGGCTCATCAGCTGCACGTAAGAGTGACCCTTCGCCGGAGGGACCTCCGGTGCGCGGGTTTGGGGGGGCGCGGGGGGCCAAGCCAAAGCGAGCGCGGGTTCTCCTGCCGTGTCGGAAAAAGGAACGGTCTGCATGCCGCGCACCAAAGGCCACCCTTGCCTACAGGGCCGCGCTTGCGTGTAGCCGCGGTTAGTTCCACGTCTGAGCGCCCTCCTCCCTTCGCGCGGCCGCCCTCGTCTTCGCCCCCCTCTCTTGCACGCCAAACAATTTGTCATCGCTTGTCCCGGTTAGCCCCGCGTTGGTGCGGACTGCCTCTGCCTCGCTGCCGACGGGGAAAGTGTAGCTGCGGTTAGCTCACGGGCAGGTGGCCCGCTGGTCCGTGGCCCCACGCCTGATGAGCGGCGGGCGCGGCTGTGGAGGCTGCGGCTCCTGGAGGAGTGAGCTGTCGCCCGACGCAGACGTCTGGCGGCGCGAACAGGTCGAGGTGTTTTGTTGCTGTTCTTGTTCTTGTTGTTGTTGTTGTTGTTGTTGTTGTTGTTGTTGTTGTTGTTGTTGTTGTTGTTGTTGTTGTTGTTGTTGAACATTATTACTTCTAAAGAATAATTATTGTTGGGACCCCTGGTGCGCGGCCCCCCCGCCGCGCCTAGGCCGCAGCCACATTTTCATCATTTTCGTGAGGAAGTCTCAGGCAAAACGGGTTGGTCCGGATCCGGTTGTGTTGTTACGGCCCGCTTTCCCTTGCAAAAAATAAGCTAAAGTGGACATTTCTTGTTCTAACATAACCAAACTTCAAGAATCCCTTGCAAAAAATAAGGTAAAGTGGACATTCGCGCGCGCAAAACGAAATCCTTCCAAAACCTTAGTTTTCGTAGCGATTTTAACATAAAAACATCAAAAAACCAATGGTTTTTCAAAAAAAAATGTCAAAATTTCATCCCGCGCGCTCTTGCGGATTCGTAGGAAACCCAACACTTTTTAAACATTTCTGTCAAACGGGCTTTTGCGAGCAACTTTTTCGAACTTCTGCAACAACGGTTGCGCACCTGCCAGGGCCATCATCCCTGTCAAATAATACCATGCGGGACACATTCGTTTTTTCTTCGCGCGCGCACGCCGTCGTCGTCGGCCGCGGGGCCCTGAATAGTAGCCACGGTCGTCCGCATGCCACGAAGTGAAGTGTCCGAACGTCATAGGGCGGGAAGCTGGGTGTGGGTGGTGGCGAAGAGTCGTTTGGAAATTTGGTAGAGCTTGAACCGGCCCCCCCACAAAGTGGGGGTATTGCCCGCCTCCTATGAAAACCCTGGCACTGGTGAGAACGGAGTGTCCCCACGTGCTAGTAATTGTTGTTGTTGTTGTTGTTGTTGTTGTTGTTGTTGTTGTTGTTGTTGCTTCTGTTGGCTTTGGCAGATGCTGCATGTTGAGCTGTAGTGAAAGCTGTGCTGCTAGCTGTGATATGGACTGTAGCAGGAGCTGATTTGTGAGCTGTACTGAAAGCTCGACTACTGATAGTGATGGGATCCGTAGCATGAATTGCCGAACGGCGAAGCATGCGAGGAGCAGGCACGGCGGCGCAGCAGAGCAATGAGGATGAGAGCGTGAGCTATGAGGAGGGCGAGTGTGGCGACGGAGGGAAAAGAAACGTGGGAATCGCGGATCACAGGGCAACATGTGTGATTATCTGGGGGGGGCATCTGTAAATATATGTTCGCATGCGCGCACAGGTGTAGTGACTTCTGGCCCATCACGCCACCGTTCCTTCAGCCGTTGGCCAGAAACCGCCACGGTCGCTCTGCGGTTTTTGTCCAGCATCATTGATTGTCGAAGCACTGTTTGGTAGTCGAGGATTCAGAGTTTCCCATGCATTCTGCGAGCGCCACGGCAACATCGCAGTTCTTGTCATCGCCAGTGGCCGCGATTGCCGACATCATGAGCCTACCACTTTCGTCACCGACATATGGACATCATCGTGATTGTCGTCCCCATCATCGGCGTTGTGATTAGCCTAGTCGTCGTCATTGTTTTCATCGCCACTGCCATCGCTACTAGCACCATCGTTGCCGCCATTTTCGGTGTCATCATGATGTCGCGCACGCCCGAACCCCCGACCCGCGCTGAAGTGCCCGCCCGCCCGCGCAGCCTTTGAGACGCGTTGGGAACTTCCCATCGGCAAGCGCCTTCGCGGCCTCATCAGTTCTGCCAAACCAGCTCTCCTCTCTGCGCGCGAGCTTGCGCGCGCCAGCGCGGCCGCAGAGATGCGTCAGCCAGTGCCAAGTCACCGCAATCGTGGCCGCATGTTTTTTTGTTGCCAAACAAGTTGGAGGTGGCAGGGTGCGATGAATGTGTGTGCGACCAGTGGAATCGACAACCCATTCGTGGCGTTAGTCAATCGCATTACGCACATTCATTCGCACACCATTACAAAACGTGCAGATTGCACCATATGTTGCAATCGCCGCATTCTTTGTAAAACATTGGCTGTGCCGTATATACAGCGCATTACCCCTTCTTCTTTCAACCAGGACATACATGCCCCCCCCTGCCGAGCCTGGATTTAGCAGGGCGACTTCGGATATTGCACATTACATACGGCCCTTCCGACTGGTTCATGTCCATACGTAATCATGCCATCTGGGCCAGGCCGGTTTATCGTCCCCTTCATCCTCTCAGGTGATTCCAGGCGCGCGTAACCTTTAATTTCGAAATTGTATTCCATATCTCCGCACAACAAATGGCACAACGTTCATGCACGGGCACAAATCAACATCATACAAAACAAATTCGCGTTGCATGAATTCCGACATAACAACACCAATCAGTTCTTGTCTATGTCATCGCAACTCCTGCTGACTCCCTGCTAGAGCCCACTTGCGGAAGTCATAGGAACACCGCTCGATGTCAGCAGTCTCGTCCACATCCCGCATTCTCATCTCATCACGCGCTGCATCCGCGTTGGTCCAGCATGCACGCAATGCACGAGTCTAGATCAAGTAATACAATGCGGTCCGCAAGCGCGCCGCTCCCCGCGTGTGTCGAAATCTTTTATTCAAACCACTGGTTACCGACGCATTTCAAACTACAGTTCTTCAGACACATTTGACAAACAAAGCAGGCATCTGCGTGGTCAAATGGCAGTCTGCCAGATCTCTTGAATTTTTGCGCGCGCGCACTTCTTCACCATCACCTTCATCCGCGCCATCGCATCACCGCCTACACCGTCATTGCCAATCTCCGCCGCTGCCGCAATCGCCCAGCAATCATTTCCATCATCGACACATTCGCATCACAATCGTCGTCGCCGTCACCAGCATCTGTGCCATGATTGGCCTTGCCGTCGTCATCGTCACCATCGCCATGGCTAGCGTCATTATCGCTGTCACCGCTGTCGGCGTCATCAGGATATCGTTGCTGACCGAGCCAGCGACCCGCACTGAAACGTCTGATCGCCAGCGCGGCCTCTGAGACGTGCTGAAGAGTTCCAATCGGCAAGCGCCATCGCGGCCGCAACAGATGTGCCTTTCCAGATGGCCGCTGTGCGCGCGAGTTTGCGCGCGCCAGCGCGACCGCAAATATGCGTCAGCAAGTGACACGCACTATCCGAATCGTGGCCGCATGGGTTGCCCAAACAAATGGCGGGTGGGAGATTGCGATGTTTGTGCGAGCGCTGGGTATGCCAAGTTCAAGTTCCGCTGGGTATGACAAGTTCAACTGCAGCACATAAGTTATACCTCGCGCAGGTTGTACCACACAGGGACCACTCTGATAATGGGACGACCCATCGTCTGGTGTCCAAGCTCGGAGTTCGGGTGGGTGAATCATATACACGTATAGAGCTGCATTGTCACGCCAGCGCTCATATATATATATATATATATATATATATATCTGTATATATATATATATATATATATCACTGTATATATAGTCATACATCTATGTGTATATATATATATACACATGTCCGCCCGTCCTGTCAACATACGCATGGGTGTACATGTTTGTTTGATCGTTCCCGCGAGGATTCCTTCGCCACGCCTGGCTTCTACGGGTATCCGCATCAGAAGCCAGTCCGTGCTGATAGGCGGTTTTGGTGGGGTGGGGTGGCAGGCGGGGGGGGGAGGGCCGTTCTTCTGGCTTCTCCTTCGGCGCCAGGGCCGGTGCCTAGGACATCACCTTGGGCAGCTCCTGGCCGCAGGGGTCGTCGCCATGGGCCCCATTTTCCGTCGGCCGTGCCGGTTTTGCTGTGCAATCGTCCAATTGCGGAGAAGGAAGCGGAAGGGGAGGATGCGGAGGCGAAGGGGGAGGAGGGGGAGGAGGAGGAGAAGGAGGAGGAGGAGGAGAAGGAGGAGGCGGAGGACGAGGAGGAGGAGGAGGAGCAAGCGGAGGAGGGAGGAGGAGGGACGAGGGACGAGGGACGAGGACGAGGGAGGGACGAGGAGGAGGGAGGAGGGAGGAGGGAGGAGGGAGGAGGAGGAGGAGGAGGAGGAGGAGGCGAAGGACGAGGAGGAGACATATGATAAGGAAGAGGAGGATGAGGAGGATGATGAGGAGGCGAAGGACGAGGTGGAGAAAGATAATGAGGAGGAGGAATCTCTACATATTGGGACTTCACACTCGGAGCTTACTCTGTCGCGTGGGGGGTGCATGACATGGGTGCGAGATACTTGCAGGCGCGTACATGATGGGTATTGATCATGACGTAGAGGAGGAGGGGGAGGAGGGGGAGAAGGAGGAGGAGGAGGCGGAGCACGAAGAGGAGGAGGAGGAGGCAAAGGACGAGGAGAAAGACAATAAGGATGAGGAGGAGGAGGAGAAGGAGGATAAGGAGGAGGAATGGGCGGAGGAGGAGGAGGACGAGGAGGAGGAATGGGAGTAGGAGGAGGAGGAGAAGGAGGAGGAGGAGGAGGAGGAGGAGGGGAGGAGGAGGAAGAGGAGGAGGAAAAGGTGGAAGAGGAGCAGGAGGAGGAGGAGGAGGAGGAGGAAGAAGGCAACGTCTGCCTGACCCTTTGCCTTCAGGATTGCAGGATTTCAGGAGGAGGAAGATGAGGAGGAGGAGGAGGAGGAGAGGAGGAGGAGGAGGAGCAGGAGGAGGAGGAGGAGCAGGAGGAGGAGGAGTAGAAACAGGAACAGGGGCAGGAACGCTATGATAATGAAAAAGAGGAGGACGGCGAGGAAAATGCCGAGGAGGAGGCTGAACACCAGGCATAGACACAGGACGACATGTTACGGGGCTTTAGGCTTCCCGTGTATATCAACACTTTGATTTCCAAACCCGTTTCGGTGAATTGCTTTCTTCTTTCTCGTCCTCCTTTTCTTCCTTCCTCGGCTTAGGTTGTGTTTGTCGGTTGTTCCGGTCTGGCGCGTTCGGTCTCCACAGTTGGCACTCTACTGTAATCGGGGGGCTCTGCACACGGGTCGATGCACGCGTAGTGGCGTGCGCTCTTAGAGGGAGCATGTTGCATGCCGAAATTCGTTTCCACGCTTTTCGCTCTGAGTTGAGGAACGGTTGACAGGTTGTTGCGCTCACTCCTCTTCGAAAGAAGGGCGAACTCTGGAGGAGAATGAGGAGGAACATGATGACTAGAAGAAGGGTGATGAGGAGAAGGGGCATGCAACCTTTCGACGATGATGCTGATGCTGATGCTGCTGACGATGATGACGATGACGATGCTGCTCCTTATGATGATGATGATGATGATGATGATGATGATGATGATGATGGTGATGCTGATGATGATGAGGATGCTGATGCTGATGATGATGATGATGATGATGATGATGATGATGATGATGATGATGATGATGATGATGATGATGATGATGATGATGATGATGATGATAATGATGACGACGAGGAAGGACGATTGTGGCCGTTGTGGTGATGCTGGTTATGATGCTGCTGCCGATGCTGTTGCTGATGCTGCTGCTACTGCTGCTGCTGCTGATGC